TTGGGACTTTGAAAAATATAACTTTTTTTAATGAAATAACATGCCCAGGTACCAAAAATGATGATCGATTACCAGGTATACCCAGAACTCCCAGTTCAGAGTCCAATTGTGGATGAAATCGGCTACTTTGCCCTAAAAACAAACGCATTCTTTCGCGTGAATGAAATTAAAAATGGCGGCGTTTGGTGGATAATTCCTCCGGTACCTACGCGTTTACAATTTGTCCGTCTTTACTAATAGTTATTTAAAGACATTTCAGTTTCAGATAACTTTGTAATGGTTGTTACGGATAACTATCGTCATTTCAGCCGATTTCATCTGGGAAACTACTTATTTTTAACTTGCGCACCAATTACGGTGCGCTCCCGGACTTTGTCTATGGAAGTTCGCAGGGCTGTGGTGGGGACATCTGTCAACCGACCGCGTCCCTGTACACACAGCACTGTACGCAGGGCTATCTCTGAATGGCAGATTGTAAATTGCCCCCTCTAGTGACGAATTGATTCCATGACGTACATGTTTGACACAAAGGCCGCTCAAAGCGTCGATATCGTTTTGATCTGTAGACTTCTAAATGAACATTACGTTTTTAAGAGATTTTAATACATTCTAGACGCGCACGACTACCCAATCAAACACAGTGGCTGGTTTGAAGGACATTGCTGTTAGCCATATACGTCATTGTGACGTCACAGAAGCATGTTATCACTAGATAGCGCGCTTTACCGAATGGTGTATTGGTTATCGTGGATTCATAGTTCTGGTACTAACACATCATTACATAAATGACTTTGGTTAAATATCTATTGACCAAATTCCATTGCGTCAGTCAATAATTAAATACATGTATTTGATAGTATGAAATTACAAGTAAACTATAAATTGAGTTAAATTATAAGCGCAAATTATCTGATATCATCGAAAATTAAAATACCTGTTTTTGTTTCCGCCATTCGCAATCTTCGATGGAGGTGCGGGTTGTCTGCTGTTTTCAACGTGGATAAATATACAATAATTTAGTAAATATCAGGTGACTTAACGTACACCAAAAGCCGTCACATGTCTCATGCTACATAGACTCCCCATAGAAGGCAATATAAAAACTTGAAAAGCAGGGCTATTCATTTTATACAAAAAATCCAATGAGTTACCCATCCCAAATTTTTCAGTAAATTGTCTAATTTTTAAAATTAATCGTAAATAGCATTATCACAGATTATTTAACGTAAACTGGTTCAACAACGCTGGTATTGGCAGTACTAGAAAGGTTGGCCCAGCTGACTACTCACTCTAAATGTATCAGTCCGCCATTTCAAACTTGGATTTTGCTAAAATTTCAAACCAAAAGACTGCTTATTTTAGTATTATATCGAATAACACAATTTGAACTACAAGGGTGCCATCCCTTCAAAATAGAGAGGATTACAAATGCTGTTGTTAAAGTTCTAGATCTACAAGAATTGGGAATTATACCTTAGTTTATTCTCTCCAGTCGTGTTCTTCGTTGGCTGTGCAGTTGGGTGTCTGCAAACAATGATAAGATGGTCACGGTGACAAGTGGTGAAATCATAAGAATGACTGGCGAGATCTCGTTGATAGCGACAGAACCATGTGACTTGTTTTGCCCCATAGTGTTCCTCATCCGTCCACTGTTGCGATTACCATGGTTGCATAGATCAGCGTGAAGAGTGAACGCTATGACGTGAGAGAATTGAACACTTTTAAGTCACGTGGTCCTCTCACTCTCAACGAGATTTCGGCGCCATTTGCATTTAAGGTCTATCAGCGATCCACAGTTAGCACAGTCCCTCTGGGACTGTGACAGTTAGTAGTTCTTCTCGCCCAAAGGTACATTCATGAAATTGATTTTACGCTGACACTGACTAGGAGGTATAGAACGACGCACCTTACTAAAACTTTTCTAAGGCCTTGTTGTCACTGGGCGAAATAAGGCAGTGTCACACTGGTGTCTGTCGGACAACGGCGTTGAAAGCGCGGTAGTCATCGCGCTGCGCATGTGCGAGATATATGGGTCTCATATAAGCAAAGATGGCGACTTTGACTGTTGCGCAGATCAACAAGTACGAACTAACACGTTCCCAAGCTTTATTTACTAGGTAATTTTCATGTGATTGGAAGGTATCGAAGGAGTCACAGACGGTAATCAGTGCAAGTCGCGCGCAGGTCAAACCTCATACTTGTGATTTCCATTTGAAGAGCGCATTGGATTGTGGAACAATCAATGTTTATCAACACAAATGTCAAACATGCGCAGCGCGACGACTACCGCGCTTTAAGGTAGAAGCCTATTCATAATTTTGGAGAAGGTTAGTCATGAAAAAGTTGATTGGTTTAATATATACAATCATGGAGCTAATTTTCTATGGCACCATGTAGTAGCATTCTTTTACGTGTTTTAGTGACGTTTTTTTGAGATTTTTGTTTAAAATTAAAATTAGAACAATTCCAAAAAATGCATTTTTTACACTTTTTTTACAACCCAGGTTTTTGAAATAATTCAGGTCAATAAAAAAGGGCCAATCAGTAACAATATTTGATTTGTTCAGCCTATGTCACCAGGCTACAATTTGTGATAATAATATCTCTGTTATAGGAATCTAACTTCGTAACTTCACACAATTTCCGATTTGACAAAGAGGTACGCACCCTAATATCTATTTGGCAGAGTAAAGAAATACTGCGATAGATTGACAGGTCAGCGGGAAACAGAAAAATGGCGTACGAAATCATGCGACAAAAACTTGAAAGAAGGACTGAACAGATCCATTGAAAATTGAAAATTGAAAAAAAAAACTTTTTAAAGACATGCATGTTAGATGTTACCCATGTGAAATTTTGGCGTTGGATAAATTGGGTTTTCTGTAAATGTGTTTAATTGCAACAATAAATTATGACTAATTATCTAATTTATTGCATTAAAGGAAGTGCTAAACACCGACGTGCTTGAGGAAAACAACCGCGTAAATATTACATGTGAACGCGAAGGTATTTTGACGACGATAGAACCAATAGATCGAATAGAATAACACAGCACACGAGGTCCTATTTTTTGCATAGTGAGAACACAGCTTTTTGCAAATTGCGATTCGGCAATGACGTCATTGTAAAAGTGCGTACATCCCTTCACGTAAAATCTAGTATGTTTCTTGCTTACTACATCACTTCACAGCGACAGGGGGACTGTGATCAATCAAGTTCTTTGATATTACCTCTGGTTTTATATGAAAACGCTGAATTGTTCGATGGTCGAAAATCACTACACCCATATGGAAACAATGATAACTTTTGCAAAATCACGCCAAAATTATAACTCGATGTCCAATTAACTGTTCACTGAAATTTTGAGTAACTAACTCGAACTTTAATTAACGGTTAATCGAACTTAGTGTACGGGCAACGTAGATACGGAAAACTGTTAGTTAAAGTTCGAGTTGCTAAACGTGGTCGTTAAACAAACTAGTGTAGCAGTTCCTATTGCCCCTGGTACTATTGTATTCCAATTTCAATTGCACCCCATCAACGTATAATAGAAGAAATATACAGCTATAAGGAAAACTGACAAACCCTGGGACAAAATCAAACAATTTCAAAAGGTGGTTTTACTGTATGTATATGATTGATGTGGCTTTACTTGCCATTTAAAGCAGGAGGGTCGTCACATGCGCATGCGCAGGAATTGAGTCCCAAGTGAGGATAACAACACACGCTAAAAACGCAAAGGCTCATGGGTAGATGCTTGTTTGTAAACAATGACACGCCATGGCCATCTGACGCATGCGCAGGTGGCGACTCCCCCGCTTTAATATCCCAACTTGCTGGTAAATACACAAGAATATTTTTCACTTTTGTGATTAAATGTATTGTACCCCAACCGTACTTATTAAAAATATTATCAGATATCAGTATCGATATTACAACTGCACTCACCGTAGAATTTGCTGTTCGTTATTTTCGATAACTTTCACGTTCACACTGTGCACGTTCTTGAATATAATAACGTACGACGTTAAGCCAAAGCAAAGAAGGCAGCCACATATTACCGTATACCTCATGGCAAGCTCTGTTCAAGCACACTTTG